ATATATGGAGCGACCGCCATTCAATTTCCCCAATCCGCTGGGTCCCTTTGGTGGTGTAAAGCAGGTTGGGTCACCATGAAACCGAATACCCAAAACCCAAACCATTTAGTGACCTCCAACCTTATCCCTTTTGCCCACAGATAAGCGCCGAGGCTGCCTATCTCTATGATGCCGTGCATCTGTATGCCAAGGCGGTGATGGAAGTCCTGGATTCGGGCGGAAGGCCCAGGAATGGAAGCGCCATTGTGGCGGCCATCAAGGGCTCCAGATATCGCAGCGCCATGGGGTGGGTACTATCCCATTTGACAGCTAATCCGCAGCTTATGGTCTTTTTATTTTCCAGCTATCACGTTTATATCGATGAGAATGGCGATGCGGCTGGAAATTATACAGTATTAGCCAGGGGAACAGTGCGGAATAGTCGCAATCAGACGGTTCTGGGCCTGCGACCCGTGGGCACCTTCATCCACCGGAACAGCAGCTTCAGCAGCATCAGTAAGGCATTGCCCGTAAGTAAATCCCTGTCTTCTACGTACTCCTCTTGTAACTCGCTCTCTGCCAATCCTATTAAAATCGCTTGGCCCCTTCAGCACCAGGTAAGCGCTTTTGCCCCTGTCCAAATAATCACACACCCTTCCCAGATTTTCACCTGGTATTTTCATTTAATCCTGATCTATTTTTTCCGCTTTCCCACAGGATCTCAAACTGTTTAGCCCCATCGACTGGGTGGGTGGTTTGCGGCCAGCAGCTGCCCCTCGCTGCGGATTTGGTGGCGAGAAGTGCGTCAGTGAGTATGGGATTTTGGTGGCCAATTCCATGGGTTAACCCAAATCCTCCTAAATCACAGATTACACTGGCGAAATTTCGGCGGCCATTGCAGGAGGTACTCTATTGCTGCTCAGCCTGGTGTCGCTGGTCCTCTATCGCAACTGGCGCTACGAACAGGAACTGGACAGTCTGCTCTGGAAAATAGACTTTCGCGAGGTGCAGATCCATGAGAACGAGAGGGAGCAGCAAAGTCAGAAGCAGACGCGCGTAAGTCCCGGTCCCTGTCATCTTACCACGATGACAGGGGTATCTAGCCTAATGGACAGTACACTCGGAAAAAAATAGGCCATATAAAGACCAAGTCTAAAAGAAGTAATAGATATTTAAAAAGTGTCAGTGCCCTGGCTTTTCTGCATTTAAATATAATTAAAACCTTATCAACGCTTTAAAGCGCAACACATATTTTTAATCAAAAAACCCTATTCGAAACTCCCTTTCAAACACGACCTTACAAAATAGAAATGGAACTGCCTATTTATTATTAACATTTTAAGCTTAGTTCTCTCTTTAAAAGTGCCAAATCAAAACAGCGAAAAATGTCATAAACAAATTATTTAATGAAGATTAAAAATAGATATTCATTTTAGTGAGGAACTTGTGTATATTTATATGAGCGATAGAACATATTTTCTTATTTAGTTTTTTTCGGTGTACCCAAGAGTATTGGTTGGTGTATGCTGGGAAATGGAGTCGTCGTTTACTATGTGAGAACCTGTCAGGAGTGCAGGCAAAAGCTCTCACCTTCCCCCTGTTTAAGACTCTTCTCCCATCATTGCATGTCTGACAACAGCACTTGCTAAATCACTTGCCGCGTCGTCTTCCTCCGCAGTCCACCCATCCGCTGATCCGCACCAGCCAGGTGAGCCTGAGTTCCAATCCGGATGCCGACTTCCGCTACACGACCATCTTCACGCCCATTGGACTGTACAAGGGTCAGCTGTATGCCATCAAGAAGGTGCGAAAGAAGAGTGTCGACATCACGCGAGAGATGAAAAAGGAGCTAAAGCTGGTAAGCTGGTTAGCTATGTAATCTTTAAACATTCTAATGTATCCAAATCTTTTCCAGCTACGAGACGCCCGGCACGATAACATATGTGCCTTCATAGGCGCCTGCACGGATCCTCCAAATATCTGCATCATCAGCGAGTATTGCACCCGAGGCAGTCTTAAGGTCAGTTCCCTAAGAGACCCAAAAGCAACCCCTTCCAAATACCCTCTCCAACTCCCTACCATTACAGGACATTCTGGAGAACGAGGACGTCAAGCTGGACAACATGTTCATTGCCTCCATGGTGGCGGACATTATACGCGTGAGTGCTGTAACATTATACTAATGGCCGACCCACCCACTGACCCACTCTTTCCCTATCCTTTTTTCAGGGCGTCATCTATTTGCACGACTCGCCCATTCGATTCCACGGCGCCCTGTGCACTTCCAACTGCCTGGTAGACTCCCGATGGGTGGTCAAGCTGACGGACTTTGGCCTCTTTGCCTTCAAACAGGGCATCGAGGATAGCTCCACGGATATGCAGCACATGTCGGCCAAATGTTTGAGTGAGTGATTCCTCCAAAATATATGTGGGTTATAACTGATATCAAAAAGAAAATATTCTTAAAAACAAGATCCCTATAATTCAGAAATTAAGAACAATTCGCTCTTAAAAACAAGAAGAGTTCGTTTAGGAAAGAGAGTGCGCATACTCTTGAATTCAAGAACTATTCTTCTTGAAGCCAAGGAGCCTTTATAGAAGTATTCTCAAACCAAGAACTTTAGAGCGCGTAAAATTTAAACCGAGAATAGTTTTTTCTCAGTGTACGTTTATTACCCTTTAAATTACCATTTAAATTTCCATTTCAGAACTTCTTTATCGGGCTCCTGAGCTACTGAGACAAGGACCATCTTCCTTGGTGATGGGCACCCAACGAGGGGATGCCTACTCCTTTGGCATCCTGCTGTATGAGATGCATGTGCGAAGGGGTCCCTTTGGGGAGACGGGTCTAACACCTATGCAATGTCTACAGAAGGTCCTTCAGCCCCAGGATCAACTTAATCCATACAGACCCTCTTTGCAACCCCTGGAAACAGCCTTCGACTGCGTCAGCGAGTGTCTAAGGGAATGCTGGGCAGAGAGGCCAGAGGATCGTCCGGATTTTAAAACCATCAGGACCAAACTGAGACCCCTGCGCAAAGGAATGAGGCCCAACATCTTCGACAACATGATGGCCATGATGGAGAAGTATGCCAATAATCTGGAGGCCCTGGTCGACGATCGCACGGATCAGTTGCAGGAGGAGAAAAAGAAGACGGATGCCCTGCTGCACGAGATGCTGCCACGCTGTGTGGCTGATCAGTTGAAGAAGGGTCACAAGGTGGACCCCGAGCACTACGAACAGGTCAGCATCTACTTCAGCGACATCGTGGGATTCACTGCCATGTCCGCCGAATGCACACCACTGCAGGTGGTGGATTTCCTCAACGATCTGTACACCTGCTTCGACTCCATCATTGGTCACTACGATGTTTATAAGGTTGAGACTATAGGCGATGCCTATATGGTGGTCTCTGGACTTCCGTTGCGCAATGGTGACCTACATGCAGCTGAAATAGCCACCATGTCATTGCACCTCCTAAGTGCCGTGGCCGAGTTCAAGATTCGCCATCGACCCACCAATCGCTTGCTCCTGCGGATTGGCATTCACTCGGGACCCGTTTGTGCCGGCGTGGTGGGTCTAAAGATGCCCCGCTACTGCCTCTTTGGGGATACTGTGAACACGGCTTCTCGGATGGAGTCAAGTGGTGTCCCGTTGAAGATCCATTGCAGCTGGCAGTGCCGACAGCTGCTGGAGCGGCTGGGTGGCTATCACTTCCAGGAGAGAGGAGTCATCGCCATGAAGGGCAAGGGCGATCAGCGCACCTATTGGTTGCTTGGGGAGGATGAAGAGGCACGTACACGACGCACCTACGAGCGATCCCAGAGGAGGGGGTCCAGGGCGCTCAACAAGTTCATCCAGGGGACCATCAAGCAGGCCCAGGAGCAGGCAAATGAGTATGGGATACGCTCTTCACTCAAGCAAAAGACTCTACCCCGAAACTCCTTGACCCGCTCATCCAGTCTGGAGTCGCCTAAGAAGCTAAGATTTGCGGCTGGCAGTCTTCTAGAGCATCATCGCTATCATAGGTTTGATATATGTCATGATCAATAAAGGTTAACCATCCATTTTTCTTTCAGTGACGAAGCTCTACTAGAAGTAGACTCCTACACGGGATTGCGAAGATCTTCAGGAGGATCCACTCAATCCAGATACGAAGAGACTACCCTTTCGCTGACCATCTCCTGCCAAAGTATTGAGATCGTGGGTGGCCAACAGCACAATAAAAGGCGACCCTCCTCATATCCCACTGCCAATACACCGCTGCTCATGAACCATGTGGAGGTCTAAGCCGGAGCAACCTAGTACTTATTTAACCCAACTACAGGGAACTTAGTGGAATTTTTGTGTTCAGTATGTCTAGCCAAGTATTTGATATCGCTTTTAGTGTCTGTAATGTAAATGTGGTAATCGTAGCATCAGCATATTGTGAGAGTGATTATAAATCTAGTCGTTGTTTAAACACATTCATGCGCTAACCTAAATCAAATTAAAATAGTCAATAACCTTAACTAAAAGATATGAATAAATGAAATACCGAAATGAAACGCTTTTCGAATGGTATTGCCTAGGATTATCCAGAGACATTTTTATTATGTACTGTGTTGCAATTTGATTTCATTTTAATTGTTGTGTCTTGGAGACAGTTTGCTTTTTATTATTGTATAATAATTGTATTCATTTGACAAACTTAACGATTTCTTTATATAACTTTAGTTTAAAACCGATTTGTGCATTTCTCTAGGCATTATAAATACAGTATTTGATTCGCCGTTCATTGCCGTTTTGTTTTTATTTTGTCAAAGCCAGCTTGCAAAAACATCTCAAATGTCCATTAGATTGTTTTCGATATTCTAGGAAAGGTTGTAAATAATTTTACATTCTTATTCGATTATAATTTTAATTGTGTTTTTTTTAGGTTTCATCATGATAAGCCACAAGCTTTAAAGCACACTTTAATGCGATTTGTTTGGTTTAGATTAAATTTTGTTTGTGATCTAATGTATTGCTTCTCATCTCGTAAAAGGGGTTTCGAGTTTTTTTTTGTGTTTCGTGTGTGGAAGAAAGGGGGTGGCGGTGAGCTAATAAACTTTGTTTATATATTCAATGCTACACAATGCAACAATTCTAAATAACAATCTCAAATCTCATATGTCAATACTATATCAACTAGGTATGAATGTATATAACGCTTCTTTTGGGTTTACCCCATTTGTTTTTTTTTTGTTTAGTTTTTTTTTTCGCTATCAAAATATTTGCAACAACAATGGATATAATCAAAAATACGCAATTGTACAATTCTCAATTATTGTTCGACTGTTTCCGCAATCGCTCGCCATCTAGCACTCGATACAAAACTAACAAATGGCCAACTCTATGGGCAGGCCGGGGGATCAGTCCTTCCAAATGGGACCGACAACAAATCTGCTCGTATAAATAAATACGCTATATAATATACAGTAAATACTTATGTGTGTATATGTATATGTCGGTATTTTCTTAAATGCGTCTCTGAAAAATAATCTCTCAACATTTGATTTTCTTTGATTCAGGCTGCACTCGTAGGCGAGTGCCCCGAATGCGTTTTAAAAATTGATCAACAACTTTTTGTAGTGTAGCCAAAGCCGAAAACGAAGGATGCCTTCGCTCTAGCGTCTAACAAGAGTAAGCTACTCGAGGATACTACGGATTGTAATCCAAGATCCGTAGACCTCTCATCCAAAACAAGGCTGCAGGTAACGCGCGCTTTTCGCCAAAGGATGTCAAGTTGCCTAAGGATTACAGATTAGATCAGATGCAGTGGGTGCCAATGCAACTAGCTTCAAAAAACCTCCTCGCCATGTGAGGACTGGCTCAGGACTTCATCTCGGCTTCTTTACCATGCTGGTGGATCTGTAGTGAATGGGGTTATGAGTTATAAGAGGTCATAGGTTATAAGAACTTAAGGACTAACCTTCTCACGCCATGACGTGGACTGGAGGGGGGAGTGTGGCAGGGCGAGGGTGGTGCCGAGCCGCCCGACGAGCCCCTCGATGAGGATATAGACAGTGTAGAGGCCCTGGGCGCCGAGCAGCCCAGATAGATTGCCGATCCCTTGTCGACCTCCCGCAAATCCACTCGAGACCCGTGGACGGAGGAAGGAACCGAGCCTGTCAAGGGAATTACGATTAAAAGTTTTTAGTTTAAAAATTCTCTGAAATCTGGTATCAAACGGTGCAGCGGCTACACTTGAAATACCTTTTTTAGTATTTTAACAAAGTGGGTAGTTTTAAACAACATAACAATAGATATACCAAATAGCAGTTTATTTTTAAAAATTACCCCGTAGCTGCTTTCCAATAATTTTTGTAGGTCTGCCGCTGCATCGTTTACATCTGAAGGTTTTGTAGTAACTCACACTCACCGGTGTAGGCATGCAGACCAGCCGGACTGCTCCGTGGACGCACTCCGAAACCACTGACTGTGCTGGCACTCCTCTGCAGCTGGGCGGAGCCATTTCCCTCCCTGGCGGCGGACTCTCTCCGACTGCCGGCGCTGCTCACCCTAGGCGTTTCTCGCGAGGAATTGCCCGGTCGGGGAGAGCGCTGACTCCGGCCCAGCTGCTGCTGGCGCTGCTCCTGCTCACGGCGGGCATCCTCGAAGGCGGCAGCATACTCCGCCGCCTCGCGGGACGTGGTCGGGGGCTGTTCCAGGACTATCTCGTCCTCGGGGATGCGCTCGTTGCCCACCGAGCGACGGGCCATGGGCAGCGGTGAGTTCTTGGGCGATGTGGGGCAGGACTGGGCGGCGGCACTGCTCACGCTGAGCGAACTGGACGAGGCGTTGGCATTGGAGGACTGGGCACGCAGGCGCGAGTGGGTGGAGGCGTTGGAGGGACGACGGCGGAACAAGCCCTTTGTGGGGTCCATGTTGCAGACGCCTGAGGGGAAAGAAAGTTTAAATACATTTCAGTTTGAGTATGCAAAGTAAGGATAAGCTATTTCTTTAGTTTTTCCCAAACTAAATGTGAAAACATATGTTTCTTTCAAATAGCATGTGTATGTTAGTTGCTGCAACGTTTATCATCATCTCCAAGTCCTCATTGATCATCATATTTTATCTCCAACGTACTATTTCTTGTGTAATTATGTAATATATACAATAAATTCAATGAGAAATTGAACAAAATTTGCAGGGAAGAGATCTTTTATTGTTGGTAACTAAGTTTTCTTAAGGTTGGTTTAGGTTCTCGATCCGGATTTTGGCCGACGACGCCTCAGAATCTTCGATTTGGACTTGGCTGGATCTTCAAGAGCCGTCTGGCATCCACCATACCGTCCTTCATCATTGTCTGAGTCCAGATTCTTAACAAATCTTCCCCTCTCGCCATCCGCGTCGTAGTAACGCACATTTGGCATAAGGTTCTCTCCCAAGCTGAAGTCCAGTGAGGGATCATCGTGCAGATCCCTTTCTGGAACTGACACAAGGTTCTGCCCCAAGCTGGACTCCGGCGAGGGACCTTCGTGCAGATCCTGTCCTGGCTGCTCGAAGGTGTTGCTCTTCCATTTGTCCACCGCAAAGCTTAGAGTATATGCCAGGTTTTTCCTGACCTTGCCCAAACCCTCGACCTCACACTCGTCTTCTTCCTCAACCTGACCATCCTGACTCGCACCTGTAGGACACTTCTCGCCGCGGGAGCAGTTGCCCTCGCATATGTCCCGATTCTGGAGCAGCTCCTGGTAGTTATCCAGTGCGGTGACCACCTTTGTGCGATCGAGTTGCTCCAGAGCCGACGATGGGAAGCGTTCCCTTAGCCGGCGACGTTCCTCGGGCAATTTGAACTGCTCAAACTCCTGTAGCTGGTTTTGAAAACCAGTATTGGGATTGGCCACGGCGCGACCGGCACGAACGACCTTCAGTGCCTCCTTCCAGTTCAAGTGGGTGGCCGTCATGATGTAGGCAACGGCCACGGTCACCGAGCGCGACATCCCCGCCAGGCAGTGGATGAGCACGTTGCCCTCGCGAAGGCGGGCGGCATGGATGAAGTCGTTGCAGACGGAAAAGTACTGGGAGAGATTCTGGTCCGGCGTATCCGAGGCCATCACGCACAGGTAGTGCTTGTCCTGGGATCAAATGGAATATTGGTAAACATACCAGGATGAAGCATTACTAACTTACCGGCAGCAGACGCCGCGGACTGTCATGTATGGCAATGATGTGCGAGATCTTGAACCTCTCCAGCTGGGCATGATCCTTTGAGTCGCGGTAGTTGCCCACATAAAGTCCCGGCAAGACCTGCAAATATTATAGAAAGAGGGATTAGGGACTAGGCTCTACCTCCTCCAAGTTTACCTTTCCCATGTGCCAGTTCATTGTGGGGCGATCAGATAGCCAATATATGATATGGTGCTTGTGTGCCTACGATTTTTGGTGCTGTTCATGGAGACGGAAAAAGGTAAGCTTGTTTTATTGGCTTCCCTTTGCATGTTGCTTAGTATCTGTTCCCTTTGACAAGTTGCCGTGACAACAATCGCAGATTCTGAATAAAAAGTTGGTACCAGAGTACCAACTCCACCCTAGTGAGGAACCAGTTTGTTTATCGATATTTTAAATGCCGATCTATATGCTGTCAGTGCAGTCAAATTTTTCAAGCTAAGCTAAATGGATACAAAAAATATTATCAAACCGAAGTTTTAATACCCTGGCAGTTGGTATTTAATAACTTAAACTGAATATAATTTAATTAAAATGATAATAATAATGATAATAATAGTAATAACATAAGAGTTATATTACAATCTTAAATTTATTTTAAAGTCAGTGCATAAGAAATGTATGAGTACGTTCTGGCCCTGAAAATGTTAGTTCTGAGAACCCTGCAATTATGGATGTTTAAGTTTGGTGCAGACCTTGAAAGCTGTTGTCATCGGCTTCCGTATGCCTTTTAGCCAGCCATAAATCTTGTCCTCGTTCTTACCTTGTTCATGCCATTCCCCATGTTTCTTCATTTAAAAGTTGCGGCTCACTTCCTCAATTGTCAAACGAATTGGCCCAAAAGCAGTGCTGAAAGGATAAGACAAGCAGAGGAAGAGAATCCTTTATTTGACAAGTTCAGGGCGCAAATTTGCCGGCGAAGGACAAGTGAATGTGGGATTGTGAATTGGGGGCAGGGGCATGGGGCAGCCAAATGCTATTGTTGAGGGGGAAGTGGGTTCTAGGGCCTCCGATGAAAGTGCAAGTGGCGAATGTTGCAAGCTGTTGCCACTGCCATGGCCGAGACATAATGGATGTCTTTGTCGCCGCCTTCGTCGCGGAAGTAAACAGGCCTTGACGTTGGCTCGACTGCATCTCATTAGTGGTACGGATGGACAGACAGACACAGTTTGTGTCCTGGTATTGGGGGCAGGGATTTAGAATCGGATTGTTACGAAATGCCAGAGGCTAAAACACGCCAACAACTGGCGTACCTGTTTGGCCCCCAAACGTAAGCAAGGTTAGGAGCCGGGTCCTTGCAACAGTTGGTTGGGCCTGTCCTGCCTGCTTTCCTTCCTCTATTTCCTTTTTTCAGTACAATGGCAAAGGCCTCATCACAAAGTCAAGACGTGGGCAGCCCACCTGGCATTGTGTAACACACTCGAATCTGAACACCAAGAACGGAACCTGCACAGAAAGAAAATCTTTTAAGGATCACTCTGATATTCTCCTGGTTTATGTATTAAGTATCATTTTTACCGCGGAATAATGCACAGAATAAAAATCATCTAAGGATTAATGTGATATTTTGATTGTTAATGTATTTGGTATCTTTTGTACCGTGGAATAATGTTAAATTGATATTGAGAAGTGTAATTTCTACAACTTCATCTCAATCTTAATCTCATCTTAAATCGAAAGAGAGAAAAGAGCAGGATAGGTCTTAAAATTACTCTCAGTAAAAGCGAGACAGCAATATTCGAAACTTTTCGAGAGAGAAAAAAATAATGAAAAACAAGATGGGGATTATTTCAAAGTGCTACGGCCCGTATCTAGGTAGAATTGATACTGAATGGTTTCAAAATGATTAATTATTTTTTTTCTGTGTTTTTCCACCCATCCTTTGGGTGCACTTGGAATCCGACACATTTGCATAAGTTGTCTCGCGTTGAGGCAATGGGCAAAGTGTCGTTTTGTTGTAATTTCATTCCCGGCACGTTGTCGTCGCAGCCACGGGCATTAAATTGACTGACATGCTCGAGAGGAGGAGCTGTAGGAGCAGGAGCAGCAGGAGGAGCATATGCAGGAGCTGGAGAAGATAAGGCACGTGTGTGCCTGTCATTTACCAGTCAACCCGACTTGGCCCCCACACATCCACCCACTTCCGAGCCGAGGAAATTACGAAATTAGAGCAGTCAATCTAGCCTCTTCATCCACCTCAAAGACCTAGAAGGTATCGGAGGCAATTGATCAGCCAAAATTGCTGCTTAGCAGGATTCGGACAGCGGCGACATGGACTTCAAGTGCATCCAATCAGCATCACAGTGCCTATAAATAGTCGGCGCCCACTGCTCTTTGGGGGACCCAAGCTGATGGAAGGGGTGGGGGATTTGGAGGCCCAGAGCCGCAATTCAATTCAATTGATGTGACACTTCGCTCGTCTCGGCCTCCATGTTCCGCCCTGCGATTCCACACGGATACGGATGGAGCTCACCGTATCCTCCGCAGTCCGGGGGTTGGTATTAAAGGAAGTTTGCTGCACTCAAAAGAAATGAATTTTAAATGATGATCGATTGGAGGTTGGAATTAATGAGAAACGGTAAGAAATTAAAGTAGTAATCAGGTGCTTAACTTTGTGTTACTGGGTGTTCTAATAAGGAAAGTAAATTTTATTTCCTTTTGCTATCTCTTAAATGGATATTGTAACAATGTTATACCTCAAACCCTATAAACGTACGTGACACAAATACGGACGAAACGTGTAGCATGATTTTTGGCCACAGACAATTTATTTGCGATGGTCAAAATTTATGCAGAACAACTATATAAACAGTCTTTTATCTACGAAATGGTAAAGGAACGTCAAATATTTCCGTGTTACTTTATTAAAACCCGGATTTAAGGGAATAATAGTAAATTACACGAAAAAGATTTGCACAAATTTTTATATTAAGTGGGTTACAAAGACTTTAATAAAAGTAATATAACCAATTGTTATTACTTCAATAGAATTAAAGCACACAAAATCGACTTGAATTGATTATATTTCCTTGTGTTTGGGGAAAATGGAATCCGGAACCGCCTCGCTTGTGCGCCCGGAATGTCCTTGTGTCGGTGGAAGTGTGTTGGTTTAGCCGGTGGCCAAATATATTTAGGGGCCATGATTGAAAAACAGTTTTGCATTGAATTCATCGACGAACTTCTAATGAAATCGCATTGTGGTGGACGACGCCCTGCCCATTTTACGGCCATGCATTTCCGGGCCGTTTGCCAAAGGGATTTTTTCTCAGTTCGGAAAATGGGTAAAAAAAAGTGTTGCCTGCCCTGAGGAGCAGACCCTAAGCGAGTCAAAATTTATGGAAAACTTTAATCAAATTAAATTGGTCCCTGATTCAACTACTCTATCTGAACAGAACTTGCATTCGCTGCCAAGTTTTTCACTTGGGGTTTTCCCCGTAATGGCGCGAGTTTTTCCACGAATGTTTTTCCATTATCGCTTCCTTTCAATCGGCTTCTAATTCGGGCTTTTTGTTGTACCCAATGTCATTTGGTAGGTATATGTATATTATATGCATATAAATTAGCCGGAGTCGGCCTTGTCCCATCGCCCGTCTCTCGGTGCCACCCCCTACGGCTGGCAGTCAATTATATCGTTTAGACATTCAACATGAGCAATAAAATACATGCCACAGAGGCACCAGAAGCCGCACCTACCAGGACAGGATGGGATGGGATGGGGATTCGGACAGGGATTGGGACTGGGATTGGGTGACGCTTTATGACTCCATCGCTGGGCTTGGTGAGTCAATCGCGGAGTGATATGGCGGTGGAGAACCCCAGTGGCAGGAACACCAAGGGTCCCAATTGCTCACTGACTGTGAAAAATGCGAGTTATTTTTTGCCGTCGGGCTTTGTTTGCAATAAACGTTTCAGGCATGAAAGGACCAACCACAAGGCCTATAAACAAACAGTAGAGCCTCCATAAGCTTAACTATCAAAATCTAAACAGACATAAACCTATTGATTGCATTTAAATATAGTCCTTCAAATATTTTTGGAGGATTCAATTTTAAGGTGATTATAACACATTTTTCTTCTCAAATGTTAAGAGAAAGTATTGATTATACAACTTTTGGTCGACATGAATATACTGTTTGTCAGACGAAAATTCTAGTAAATAATTGCAATATCTTTTTAAACGGTTTTCAGGTGTTGTGCACGTCATTTTAAGCTCCTAAAATCACAAAGATAGATATACTTATATACATTTTCCTTCCCATCGCTTGGTATTAATGAAAATAACTAAATATAGTTCTAAACTAATTATAAAGTCATGATCCGGCAACAAATGTTTTTCCCACACTTTCAAGAAGTCGAAAAATCAGATAGAAACTAAGTTCCAATAAAACAGGCATTTATTTGAAAAGTTTCTGGAAACCAATAACATAAATCAACAAATCAGATAAAAATTTAAGTCTTATAGAAAAGCCACTTCTGTACAAATTTTCTTGAAAGCAATACCTACTGTACCATAAATATATCAAAATAGCGATTATGTTTTGCTTCTCTTGCTGCCAGGCAGGCAGTTTTAAATAAATTCGAAGGCCTACACCCTCTCACCCATAACGAAAAAGGACTCGAAAAGGGTGGATATAGTAGGGGCAGTCAGGCCTGGCCCTCTTTCTACAGGATAGGGGCAGTCGAGCCGGCAGCCAAATAGCGCCGCCTTGTCTGTGGATATGTCAATGGACCGACAGCCAGCTCCCAAGGAGAAGGGTCCAAACTGGGGAGCCGACTAAGCAAAACTTTGCCCCCAAGATGGCACGTGCTGCCATAAAATGCTTTATTAACATACACGAGTTCAGGCCAAGATGGGTAAATACAGGGATTGTTGATTTCATGAGCTTCGAGGATTTCATTGCTCGAAGCAAACATTGTACCGGCACCTAAGCAAACGAAAAACAAATGCTAGTACCAGCAGAAACTATTTTCTCCTGGCCAGTGGCTATTTGGCCCCCAAAACAACACGCTTTTAGGACCCCCTTTTTGGACCCCCCTTGGGCGCCTTCTTGGACCCCCGGCCATGACAGAGACAAAGTGTTGCCATCGCCAAGGCAATAAAACTGAAATGTGATCGCCTGGCATCACCTACCCCATGATGGCACACATAATCTCAGCCAATCTGGGGACATCAACCTTGATTTCGAAATGCATCCGTTTCCCTCGTCAGTACTTCCACTCTCTCCACAATCCACACCAACCTCCATCTACATTTCCGCTTTCCCGTCCAGGTCACAGCTAATTAACTGCATTCGGTAGCGAGTCCTGCGAAACGGAACCCTCCAAAATGTGACAATCCGAACTTAATGAACCATATACACGACTCGCAAAGTTTTCCGCTGCCGACGGAACGCAATTTAAATAAATAATTAGACAGGTGGGCGGGCGAAGCGGTCGAATTGCATGACTCAAAATATTAATTTCGTTTTACATATGCAATGAGTGTGGCGTAAAAACTTTGGCCATGTTTTTAGTGTGCAACAAGGGAAATTAAGCGAAACGAGGCATTCAAATTGGGGGTTGTCGGTGGAAGGAGTTGGGAAAAGTTGACCTAAAAATAAGTGGATATGAAACATATTTGATTCAGATACATTTCTTCAAAAATGATATATCAACAAGGCGAATACTAGATTTATTTACAGTTATAACTGTTTAGTAATATTTTATACTTTTTTTAAACGAAACCCTAACCATTAATTTTTTTCTGATTCCCATACCAAAAAGATTATATTTATACATAAATACTCTTTATGTTACTCCATGATGAAATTACATATCAACCAGGCGTATACATGATTTATATATATATTTAACGGAACCCTAAGACGTTAGTGTTAATGTTTCAGTAACTATGATTTTTACCCTGAAAAAATATTTCATAAATAAGATACAAGTAACTGCGTGATCCGTCTGGGAGTTATCCAAATTGCAGAATAAATCTAGCACCTTTAAAATTTATAGACACCAAGATTCAGATGTTTTAAATAGACATTATATGTCTTATATCAATATGCTATTCAAGAATTTTACTTATATTAGCTTGAACATTATATGCCCTTTCCGAGATTTATTTCCCTCCACCCGGTCAAAGGTATAAACGTATTTATCCATCTTTAATATTTCAATATTTGTTTTAACGATTCAGAATTTTGTTTTAAATTTTAAACGGGTCTCAAATCTTTAGGAATCAAACACCTATGGCCATGAAATATGGATAGTCTTTTAAAGAAGTCCCATCTGCAGGTACTGGCTGACAGGGTTTTCCACAGTCACGTTTCGGGGCATTTTCACACCAATTCGACTCTGACGACCGGCTGACAGTCCACGACCCAAGCGAGCCACACATTACCCATACGGCCCGTGGGGCAAGATTTACATGGAAAACACTTATGCGCTCTTGACACGGGAGGCATAAAGGTGGGGGACTGTCCCTTAATTCCCCGGTTGCGTGCCCAAAAAACAAAAAAAAAATAATTACTCCATAGGTAGAGGAATATAATTTTCGGGACATTTGCGTTTAAGGGGAATCGGATGGAGGTTCAGTCAACCAGCGAAATGTGGTAATATAAAGCCGTTAAGGGAATCGCAGGACTTACGTTAGCTTCGCCGCTCCGTTTGCTTGCCTCCTGGTCAATGGAGCTGCCACATGGATACCTTGACTTCTACTTCGACTTCCACTCGCAAGAGAGAGAGAGAGAGAAAGTGGAGAAAGTCGAGCGGCAAACTCCTGTTATATCACGGTGCCAGCAGCGGCGGCCGCAAATGCACGCAAATTTTGATTCCCTTCCTCTATACCTTTCGCTGATTTTCTCTCAGTGTGAACACAAAACTAAACTGTGTGACAGTTAAAGCCAAGTTAACTGGGCTCTAACCATTATTCCGCGTCGTTTTGCGGCATGTAGCGTTGGGTGGAAATTGTAGAGACGTTAAGGTAGACGTGAAAAGCGTTTGAGAAGCGAGAAACAATGAAAGTCAGAGCCGTGAAATGTGTGGTTAGTGTGGAAACTGAAGGAAAAAACGAGATGCAGCCGCCGCGTGAGTTCCGTTTGCAGGAGTAGGATTGCGCCAAACGAATCGGCTCGAGCGCTATTCACAGACTGAGCAGCGAAGCAGCTGAGCACAACTGGCACTCGGACCTGGCTCAAACCTACATTTGAGTGGTTGTGGCTCCAGCTTGGGCACCGATACCCGCGGGCATGAATGGGAACAAGCCGAGTTTGCGCACTCGACCAGCGCGCCAAAATAAAAACTCACTCAATATTTTGGTTTGCTCGACACACGAGAGAGTGAAGGCTCTTTTTGCCCACCGAGTGCGTAGTAAAAACCTTTGATTCAGTTATATAATTGAGGGGCGCCATCCTAAGTTTTTTTTTGGGTGCTCTTTTTTTTTGTTTGGCCCCTCACCTGTCAGTGGCAATTAACGGCGAAGCTATAATCACCAAACTACCCGCAAATCCATAACCCCCATTTGTAGCGTCCCCCTTGAAACGGTTAATTGAGCCAATGTTCGATATTAACGGTAATGGAGTACTATATGGTAGTAACAGTAAGTACTATGGTAAGAAAAGCCATAAGTATCCTAAATATTTTCGTAAAACTAAACTAAAACAGAAAAACAAGAAACTCTAGGTCTAGCTTTAAAGAGAACTAAAAAAAAAACATATGTATACCTATTAAATAATTTTAGTCCACACAATAACCAACTTTTCAGGAACTACCTTCTTTGAGATCTATTAAACCCTATTTTAACTAAGGAATTCAATATTTTTCTAAAAATTTTTGGAAATTCAGTATTTATTTTTTAACAATTTATGTAGTTTCCAATATTTAAAAGAAGTACATGGCATTCCCAATAAATTTTATCGAATTATTATTAAATAGAAATCGTAACCATAGTTTTCGTTAAGGCTAGAGAGTCATATTGGCACAGTATCACGTTAAAATTCCAAATATTAAGCTTATATTTGTTTCACTTTGCTATGGGAATCGGGGGCTCTACGATGTCAGCATATTTAGCCAGAATAAACACTTGCTTTCGACTGACTCATTCAATGCGATTTGTTTTGACGGCTTACATTTCATTCATGGGGCCATAAATGGAGCGAATTAAAATACCATAGCAGACTGTGTGGTATACTCTAATTTCTCATACGTTGCAATTGTCAAATATTGATTTCGATATCCCAAAAAAAAGAATTAACTTTAATAAACTAAACAAAACCCAATTTTATGTGTTTTATTTATATTGACCCAATTCAGAAGAAGATACATTTCTTTTTGAAATGCGAATTCTGGGTAAAACGTCTGAGATGCAACAGCGGCATTGCGTTTCGCTTGTGTATCTGTATGGCATTTATAACAACAAATATCGTATGTATATTTATAATCAAAAATATATACACACCATGTTTATATGTGTAGAGAGATGTGCAATATTTAATTATGAATTATTTGAATTTTATATGCTATGGCGACGCAGTTGTTCGACCAAACAACAAGAAAATATTTGGAAAATACATCTAACGGATAAAGATGGGTGGGCGTGTCGCCGCCGGCCGTCCGCTTTTATATATGAACATGCACATTTCTTCAGATATACAGTGAGGGTAAAAAAAGTAGTACAAAACATTTATGTTATTTTTTAAGTCCCAAAATGTTTTCTTATTAGATTTGATGAAAATCTGAAGTATTATTATAATACATTGAGAGTTACTCGTTTAAAAATTCTTTCTCAAAGAGAAAATACATTTCAACTAAAAATATTGTTCTTCTATTTAGAAAAATCTTGAAAAAATCCAAAAGAGCTTTCTGAAGATCTTATTATGTTGACCACAACTGTACGTATGGGTCATTTCACCATTCTGAGGAAAATGCCTGGGACGAGAATGACTAATAGTTGCTGAAAAAGGTGGAGTAAACAGTTGGCCCAAACAACCGGGGGGCAATCAGCTGATAATTTAGCGATAACAGTTGACTGCAGAAGACTTTCTGCCGCTATTGCACATTGTACAATTGTTTATTGCTAAAATACATGAGGTATACCCAGTGCGGGGGACTTGAGGCAACAGATCGTTAGTCATTGATCGATCTATTGGCCGCTCAACAAGACTCGTCAGTGGGCGATGACAACTGTTTACGCTGCTGATTTTGCCTTTTCTCATGCCTTACTTGTTGTTGCTCTTCGAAGACTGTGACGCAGTGGTTGTGCCTATACCTATGTAGGCGGTCCCCGTGCAGAGAAATAAAAACAACTCGATATCATATATATTTACCAGAACTTTGTGTATAATTTTAAATTTTTTTTAAAAACATGTTAGATTCATATGAATTTCAAGTTGTTTTCCTAGGGTAATTAAAAACTAGACTCACTGAACATTCAATGTAAATTAGAAAGCTTTTTTTCTTAATATTTTTAAAACATTTGAAAATTTACGTAATAATTGTTCTATCTCTGTGTAAAGTAAGATCTTTTAAATCAAAATACCTTTTTGATTATTTTAAATTCATTAATTAATTGTTCTGGTATCAAGAGCCCAGGTTCAAATACCACCCGCCCAATATTTTTTTGCTGGCTATTCTAACAAATTAAATCTGATTTATATTTAAAAACACAGTAAATATTGGTAAAGGTTATAAGTGAGTTAAGTAAGTACTTCTCCTTGTTTTTATTTTATTTTGAATTCAATCTTTTTTAACCAAGCTCTTTTACTTTTCTTTCTGTGTATCTGATCTGAACCGATAAATAGATATGTATATAGTATTGCATTTTTCTTTCGGTGTGGCTTACGGTTACAGATTGTGATTCTAGAAGCCATGCGACTGCCGAGGAATGCGTTTCAGAGAACCGCTCTGCAATCCTACTCTCTTCGCACTCTCTCGGCCAACTTTCTAGCGGACGTCTATTTATAAGTCTGATGTGTGTGTAGTGTATCTTGGCCTGGTCCGCGATCGGAGAGAGCAAGAGAGGCGTGAAAGAGAGAGAGAGCCGAGTATCCGTATCCATAAGATAGTATTAAATATTTACCAATTAAGGCCTTAAACCGCCGGAGGAGAGCAGGTAGAAGCCAAGCAAAGCTTAGAGAGGGAGAGAGTGGGAGAGCGGGAGTACTTAGGGGAGAGAGAGCACAGTGGGGCCAACTGAGAGTCGCGAGAGCAGTGGGGCTGGTTGGCCGATGGAAATGGTAATGGCTGGCAGCAAACGGCGATGGCGCTCAGTCGACGAGCAACTTTGGCAGCGTGAGGACGCCCGTGTGCATGTGCGTGTGCCCCGTTTAACAACAACAAAGCCGAGTGGCAATGTGCAAAAATAAAAAATCTATATATATTTTAAATTGAATATAGAAAACCGAAAAACCCACACTCGCTCACACACTTGGCAGCGCACACACACACAGACGAGCCAGAGAGCGCGAGCGGAAATACTTAAAAAAGCTAAAACGTCGAAAAAAGTGGAAGTAAAAAAGTGGCCGTATCGGTGTATCGGCATCTAGAAAGTGTGGCCAACAAAAGTGACATCACACACTCCGGGCAGCAGAAAAATCGGCAAAGGAGCTAAAGTTTAAGGAACATACGAGAAATCCCAATCGAAATTGAAATCAAAATCGCAGCGGTAGTCGCACGCGTCGTTGCTCAAGGTGAGAACGCGCCAACCCCCCAACCCACGTCCCCCCCCCACCCATTGCGTCCAAAAAAAATAAAAAAAATTAATCTCAACAACTGGCACGACAAGTAGTCGCCGCCGTCGAAAGTCACACAGCCCAAAAATCAACAAAAGGAAATAAATTAAAAATTTTGTCGCTACGCAGCGAGACAACGGATTTGATAGCGGTACGGTTTTTTTTTCACCCACCAAATCACCGATGAAGCCCACTGTGATGGCGGCCAATCAGGCGCCCAGCAATCCGACCAACGGTGGCAATGGCTCAACCGCTGGACCCGGAGTCAATATACCCGTAAATCGGGAATATGTCAGTGGTGGCTATGGATCCCCCCAGCAGCAGGCCGGACAGAGTCCACACTTCCACAATCCCCCGCAAAACGCTTACGGATCGCCCAGGCAGCAGCAGCAGCACTTCCAGCAGCACCCCCAGCAGGTTCCCCCAAATCAGCAGCAGCAACATTTTCAGGTGAGTGGCCGCCACAGGTTGCGAGGTGGGAGGGAGGGGGTGGTGTGGCAGACGAGCGGCAGCGGCGAGAGATCCCAAGGTTGGCGCCTGACAAGGTCGCCTCAGCCCCCCTCCTCCAGATCTCCCCCACCCCCAAAAGACCTCGATCGCATAGCTGGGACATATTCGTATGAGTGTCATGGTTTTTGTTGTTCTCGCTAGCAGTGTGGCAGTTCAGGTACAGTGGAGATTCTCCAAAGGGAACAGTTGGTTGGAAATAATAACTATATCCATATATGATTGGCTTAGCCTTCTAGATCAACGAACATTTTATTTTCTCATTTCTTTAATAACACGTTTTTCAATTACATTATAATATAATTATTTCTAACGATTTAATTTGATACTATACTATAGTATCTCTGCTGCTCTATAGTACTATAGTACCTAACCCCTATATCGTTTTAAAATATAGTCCACTTAAATAATCCCAACAAAAAACATCTAGATGTATTTATCAGTCTGAAAGGCCTTTTAAAAGCGAATTACTTTTATATTTCAAAAAGCTTTGTTCTTTGTTTGCCTAAATATCTTGAGAAAGCGATTAAGTTTTATCTATTTCACTATACTACTTAAGACACAGCGTTTTTTCCAGTTGTTTAACTTTTCCGAATGAATCCTTCGCTGTTTTGCACTGCCTTTGGGCGCTTTGTAAACTCTGTAAATCGCAATAAGGGTGCAAAAACAATGGAAAAAGGCAGTGTGGTTGCGTAAACGCCTCTACCCCTAAAGAAGCCCTCTTGAAAAGTTGGTTTTTTACCCCCTCCTCAGTGTGTCAAGTGTGTGTGCACACTCTGTTGACCTACTGGGCATAAACTTACAGTATCTGCATAGTAGGGGGGATGGATGGCCAAGTTTTTCTGGGCTGATGTCGTGTCAAGCTCTCGTCTAGTGGCCAACGCTGCGTATGATTAATGCCGCAACGCGTGCGGAATTTTA